GGGGGGGGGGGTTGTGCTGGGTAGTCAACTGGGGCCACTTTAGGATTCCATTCATTGAGCAGCCTACTACTACTAGTTCTAGTTCTCAGGTAGTCAAGACCAATACATCCCTCTAGTTTTTAAAGGCTTCCTCCCACATTCTCACCTCTAATAATCATTAGTAACAAGGCTAAGGACAGGATGCTGATCCTGTGAGGCTGAAGCACAATTGTTGAAAGAGAGCAGGGGTTAAGGATGGCAGCGTTACAACACCTGCAATGTTGTGTACTGAATGCAAATCAATTTTTAAAGGAGTCTCTTTGAGACCTTCTGAGTTGGGCCTCTGGTGGAAGTCAGGAAGGTGGAACATAGACTAGAAGACAAGCTGAGACCTGAGAAAACTTCAAAAGTTTCATGTCAACCCTTTAGGAAGTTCCTAGTCCGTCATTGCTCTCACTTTTTTTTCCTTTTCTCACCTTTTTTGTTTTTTAAGTAGGCACACAGCCTAGTGTTGGAGATCGTAATATTTGCCCCTCTCTACGGGTTCCTGAGGTACAGTTGGACATGAACCTAAACCAAAATGGGGGATTTGGAGGAAGGTAAAAGAGTCCATAAGGAAAGAGCAGCGTGGAGAGGGCAGAGCCAACACCTGAGGAGAGGAACCTGCAGTCGGTCCCTCCCAGGCTGCAGGGGAAACGAGTTTAGCAGGATTTAGCCCTCAAGGATCAACGGCTGCTGCAAGGAACGGGGGAGGGAAAACATTTGGGTACATCTAAAGAGTAGGGAGGCAAGGGGCAGGGCAGGACTGCAAAGGGAGTGACCGTACAAGCCCGGACCATTGGCGAGTTGCCCGGGGCTTTGGATCCTCAGTGCCCAGACCTACACGAGGTTAATTAGAATATTAACTGGCTCCGCCCAGAAGCCTTCACCCTGCCCTCCGACCCTGGGGCCCAGCCTAAGGAGGCTCCCGGGGTCGAAGGCCAGAGCAAACTTGGGCCATCGTCTTTTCGCCGCCTGAATCCTCCCGGCCGCCCCAGGGGCAGGGCCAGCCAGGGCTGCCCGCCCAACCCGGCCCGCCGCCTCCTCGGTCGTGGAATTCGCCGGCAGCCCTTAGGCTGCGGGGACAGGTGACCGGACAGCAGCACCCCCTGCCTTGCACGCCCCTTTCGCGGATCTGACCCGAGGGTTGAGCTGGGTAGCCGAGGGCAATCGACACGCGATTTCGACCTCTCCACCTTCTAAGAGAGGGTCAGTTGGGGGTCTTCCATTCGTCCCTGACAAGATTGGTGCGTTACCGGAGTTTGGCCGCCCCATGTCCCGAAGCCGCTCTGGGACCTGGGTGCAGGCTAGGGCCTGAATACTCTAACTCATTTATCAGCCCCACTTTCGGGGTGCAGGTGGGCCTTGCCCCCTTTTCCCTCGAAGGTCCTGGACGGAGAGGAGCCGTGCCCCAGAACTTCTCTCGGTGCCCAGAGGACTGTTTTACACGGAGCAGACGCCCAATATTGGATTCAGTGGCAGTACTAGAGTCTGCGGCTTTTATTTTATGAAAGTCTTTAGCTTCTACTCTCTTCCTCCTCCGTTCACGAAACGGTGTACTCTCCCTTTAAGACTAAAATGGTGGCTGGCTACGATCAGGACTCCACTTCCGGTGGGGAGGGGGCGGGACCCCAGCCCGCTCACGCCGGAAGTGGTTTGCGTTTTCAAGATGGCGACTCCCTATGTAACTGACGAGACCGGCGGTGAGTGCGGGAGGCGCGGAGCCGCTTCTCCCCGGGCTCTCGGGGCAGGGGTTCGGACTTGGAAAGGGGTCTGTGCCCCGCCCATCCCGGGGCCCCTCCTTTGCCCCGCCCTCCGGACCGCCTTCCCCATTCATTCTCTCCTATGGGGTGTCACCTGCGCCCCCTTCTGGTCTCGTGTTTGGGGGTCTCCGCTTCCGGTCACCCAAGCCCTGGGGTCCTCCAGTGCAGGTTCCTGCTCCAGGACCCTCACAGGCCCTTACCTTTTCTTCAGCAGCTGGAGATCTCGTATCTCTTTTGGCTTCTCCAGGCTTGGGAGCTCTTAACACTCTCGGTTCCCTCCAATTCCTGCTTTTCTCCTGTTCCCCTCCCCCATCTTTCAGCGGTACCTGCCTTCTGCCCTACCCCAGCCCCATTTTAATTCCTATTCTTGAAGCTGTATCTGTTGAAGACTTCCTCATTGCTTTTGTGTAGACTTCCTGCATAATGCTTTTTCCATTCTCTCCCACATCTTCATTGTTGGGTTACTGAGGTTCAGAGGTGTGAATGGAACAGTAACCTAGTATAACTTTAAACTTGAGTTTTCTTTTTGATGGCACCACCTTTCTGTACTTTTCTGGTGGTGATGGTGATAAAAGTTGAGGGATCTGAGGTGGAAGAAGGCAAACAAGAGGTGTCTAATGGCCTCTCAAGCCCTCTGACAAGTTCATAGAACCCACTATAAATTCTGCCTAGAGAAGAATTTCCAGCCTGGCTGATTGAGATGAAGTGTCCACTGTGTATGGAGGTTTATGTGTTGAAAACTGAGAGTCAATATTTTCATTTTGATTTTGTCCCATCCTTATTTCCTCATCTGTAGAAACATGGGCATAGTGATATCTACCTAGTGACCATTAAATAAGGTAGCATATGTGCAAGCAATTTATAAAATGCTGTGCAAGGCAAGGTGTTAATGTTTTTTGTAGCCTTCACTGTGTATGTGTAGTCTTCTGTAGAAGTGACACTGTGTATACTGTGGTTGGTACATACAGTCTGTTTTAAAAATGTGCCCTTTATTTGTTGCTTTGCTGCTTTCCATGTTCCTTACATCTCAGTCCACCTCTTCTATGGTATCCTATGGCAAGCCAGGTCTCTCTGCTACTTCTCCTCAGCCTCACATTTCAAAGTGGTACACAGAACTTCTGTTTTCTATTCAGTAGGTCCTTCTTCTACCAGCTCCTTTAATACGTGCTTCGAAAATATTGCTCATCGTCCACTACACTTTTCTTTATTCTTAACGATTTTCTTTAAACACGTATCTTCTGTTCTCTGTGACTATGTAGAAGAGAAGGAATCACACTGCTTTTTTTTCTTTCCCCTACTACTTCCAGATCATTGACCTACCACCGTCACTCTAATCTCTGTGAAGGTATTGCCATGCAGTTAGAGCATTGTCTCTAAAACTTCAGGGCCATCATTTATTGCCCACAAGGACCCAGACCTATTGCATCATACTTTTTTTCTCCACTGTTTCTTGCTCTTATTCTCAGTGTCTCCAGCATCTTTGAAATACTGATTTTATAGTTCCTCAGCACAAGACAGTTGACTTTCCTTTGTATTTTTAAAGTAGCTACACATCAGATCACTACAACCTGGACCTATTACGCTACTTCCCCTTCAGGTGCTCTTTATCACTTTAGCCTCCTTACAAGTTACCTTTTTCACTCCTTCCCATCCACAGATTCCACTTTTTGCCCTTCTGAGGTTCTTAACTTTTCCCATTTCATTGAGTCTACCAGTACCTTCATGACTATCTTTGATGCTGCTCTGCTAGACCTTAGTGACCAGCCACTTTGATACTATCTTCATTGTTTGCTTCATTCATTTTGATCTTCTGTATTTGGCAAGCACTTCTGTTATCTTGAATCATACTCATCACCTATTTTTTTGGCTTCCGTGTCTAGACCACCCACAGCACATGGCTAGTGAAAAAGTGCAAAACCTGTACATTCAGTGTAATATAACTTAGTGTTAACTTCTGCCAAGATCATGGCTTCTCTCAAATTCTTTTTTCTTGGTTTGCTTACATTCTACCATGGCTTTTCCCCAACCTTTTCCAGCACTCTGTGACCTCCCTTTTAATTCCCCCCTCTTGTAGCAGATGTCTTCACTTTCTATTTCATGGAAAAGTCAAGGCCTAGCCTTTGTTTCTTTGCTGTTCACAGCCCGATTTCTTTTTTTTTTTTTTTTT